CATGTGGTGAATATAAAGCAGATTTTCGAAATGTTACAGCAAGTTTGGTTGGTTAGGTTAGGTTAGATTAGAACTGTTTGACAACTAAATTTGAATGTCCGTGACTGGAAAACTGCCCCCCCGGTCTCTGGCGTCAATATGACGTAGGAACCTGCTTGGGGGGGTAGTTTTCGGGGGGGCAGTCTTCCGGCGACCCAAAAAAATAATGGATTACGAAATTTCAGATATTTTTCAAGTTTTATGAAGTAGTTTTTTCACCGTAATAAAAAGTCCAATACTCGTCACGAAAGTCACATTTCGGGGATCAATAGTGATTCCCATGGAGTAGAGAAATATACTATTTGTATGGTAAGTGGTTATGGAGGAAATTAAAAAAAATGTAAATATAAAATTGCCATGTTATTCTTATGGAAATTAAGTAAACTGTTGTAGTTTGGTAGTTTATTGTTATTTGTTGATCAAATTTATTTGTTTCACCTTATGCAATTGAAATTTCGCCGAAAACAATTTTGAACTTCTCCATAGCAGCAAACCCAAGTACTCTTAAAATCTAAAGTTATTTAATTATGAAATTAATAGGCATAAGACTAGATTATGGAAATAGTTTAGTATGAATCCAATCCAATGCGTTGAATTCAAACTCGCTTAGCCTGCAGTTTTGCTTTGACTTTATGAGTTTACTTGTTTGACTTTGCTTTGTATTTCAAACTTGAAATAAGTATATGCCTGCCCATTTAGTTTTATTTTTAAACATTTTAATTAAATACTGCCGGTCGAAAGTTAAGTATATGTACATACCGATCCCTAAAAAAGGTCGTACCTCATATGTTACAGATAAGTTACAATAATTGTTGACTATATTTACATGGCATATTTGTATTGTAATACATCATCCATACAAGAAGCAGTCTAATTAGATTTTTTAAGAATGTTGTTTTTGTAAATTGACTAATTTATCAGAGAGATTAGGTAGGCTATTTTGTAGGTTGTTTTAAAGCCATGAGAAAAGCAACACGGATGAAGTCAATGGAACAGCTAAGGAGACTTTTCAACAATATTACATTAGATGTTCTACTTTCTACTTCCTCCCCTTCATATTATTACGTCCTAATTGCTTAATCCATCTTTAAATTAATTTGGAATAGAACAATAGAACAGATCGATTGCATTATTTGTCATTGAGTGATTTATAGGGTTTATAAGCCAATTACGATCTGAGGCTATATATTTGATATTATAATATAAGATATTAAATTTAGATTTGTCATACTGTAATTAACGTGTTTGGAAAACATATTATGTTGTTAAATAAAATGAGTGTATAATATTTTATGCCAATATCTCCAATTTATTGATTATTCTGACTGGAGTAGAATAAAAACAAAATATTTTCTCAGTTATTAAAAAACACTACTGTGGAATCCAACACTTATTCTTTGATTCAAAGAATTAAGCTGACTATAGACTACCAGTAAGCATAAAAACACATAAACATAAGCTTGCAAATTTAGTTACCATTCTTCGTAATGTAATGACATATTTGATGTAATAAAATAATAATTAAATGCTAGAAACTCAATTTCTATATCCCGTAAACTGATGCCGAGCCGGCCGAGCTCCTAGCGCCAATGCCGCGCCAAGCGATTGTATGTCTATGTTTAATCGCTTAAAAATGATACAAGCAGACTCCGTAACAAACAAAGCTTCAAATAAAAATAAAATTCATACTTTGATCTTAAACTTTGCCATTGGAGTTTTTTCCTGATCAAAAAATAAAAAGTTACTCGCTTACTACATTTTTCATGTTTTAATGGTGTTAAAAACAATCATCAGTTTTAATTTGCCTGAATAAATTATAACATATATGTTAAGGTAAAAACTAACTACATAGTAATAAGCACTGGTTTTCCCGGTAAAATAAAATTTCGGTTTGAAATTGTTTATGTTGACAAATAAATGTAGCAGAGCAGGTTGGTTTGTTGTAATGTATGTTTGTGTTAAACAGGCTCATTTGGACCATCCGCCTCGGTATCCCGCCAATTCGAATGGTATTTACTTCCACCATGATGGTGAGTACATGGGCCGTTTTTCCACCTCACAGCACAGCGGTGTGTCTTATACATCGTATACATCGATGGATACGAACGACTACGTAAGTGCTGTCCAGCGGTCTTTTGTTTACTTATGAACGCATTTTTGTTTTGCTTTGCACATAATTCTAAAGTATTTATTTGTATAATGTATTAAGTCGCCTTAATTCTTATCTATTTAAGACCAGTATAATGGCCTTCTCCAATTTCTTATTTTTATTAACAATATGCAATGAGTGTTATAACCCTGTAAGGTAATTTAGTTTCAAAAGAAAACAATAATATAACCATTAATACCTCCACCGCAACAAACCTGCAGACTTTTAGACTAAGCGAATTTCTATTTGCCCGATTGAATTGACACTAAAATGTCTCCTTAAGAATATTACATTTATTCCCTTTTTAAATAAAATTATTTTATCGAGTATTAATGTTTTCTGCAAAAGAGAGGGTAAGAAGTAAATAAATTTTGAAAATTAACTTTTAACTTTCATTGGATTGCAATACCTCATCTCCCATGATCAATTATTTTATGTATATTGTACGTTTATAAGCCAATCGTCAGCCTCTTACTTACACAGAGGCACGACTCTCGGCTTTACAAATAATGTAAGGTTTCAATATTGAAAGAAAATATGATAGAATAGACAAGTAACGATCCTTATATCCGCGAGCTACACAAAGAACACTGCGAGTGTCAAAACGTAAAACGGTTTATTTATGGCACTACTGCAGTATTATACCAGAATACAGTGAATTGGTGTAACATAAATTACTTTTTTATTTGTTTGGCTAAGTTCAACATTGTTTTTTGTAATTAATACGATTTAAATTACCGATTATATTACACGACATTAAAAGCTGGTGTTGTTTATGTGTTGGTGCTACCTAGCGGTGACTAGACAAACTACTACGAACCTCGATGTAAGTGCTATCTAGCGGTGAGTAGACGAACTGTTGCAAACCTCAATGTAACTGTGTAACTTGATTTTTTTCATATTTTGTATATATATGTTGTAAACAAGATTATTTTTAATAAAACAGATTTTGATTCTATTTCATTGAAGTGCTATCCAGCAGAGAACATACTAACTGTTGTGAAATGTGTTGTTTGAGTTGGTTCTCACATGAAACTTGTGTCCCGCACGCAGAATATATACAAAACAGAGTCTAACGTCTAACAGGTGGACCGATGCTTCTAGGTGTCATTTGAGCCTGACTCGGTGTACAGTGTTTACGCAAAGTAGACCTTAAACTTCCATCTCAGAAGCGGACTACGTTAAGTAGACCCTTAACTTACACCATAGAAGCGGACTACGTAAAGTAGACCCTTAACTTACACCATAGAAGCGGACTACGTAAAGTAGACCCTTAAACTTACACCTCAGAAGCGGTCTTTGTTCACCTTTTGCCACTTAAAATAGTTTTATTACTTATTTATTTTTACCAAAACTATTTTCATGCATTGAAAAATAATATTATGTTCATTCAATCACATAATATTATTTTTATGTGTAACAATTTCATTCAGCTGGTTTAAAGAACGGCATGATTCTCTGTCACGTTCTCTACCCGTTAAAAAGCAAGTGAATAGCAGCCGCCGCCCCGCCTGAGAGACCCCTTCTAGAGATGACAACCTCAGCAAGATCTTCAAGCAGCACAGCACCAGCCTGCTACGCTGCGACCGCCCTCCCGGGGGCAAGGACAGGGAGGGGGTAGGTGGTTTAGTGGGTAAACTACGGTGACACCCGTATGAGTCCCACACTCCCCCGGTACGTCGGGCGCTCCAGGAGGTGCGTCAACGTATCGGGAAGTGCGTAACGCATTCCACCTACCAATAAAAAAAAATAAAAAAAATGTTACTTAAAATTAAAAAAAAAAAGGTTTATTGTCAAATACAGAATATCCTGATGTAATGTCTTGATCAGCATTGTTCGTGTTATTAAATTTACTAAAAGTAAACAAAAATGTCGTAAGTAGTGACCGATTTCGATTGTTATTAAACGTTTGTGTTGAAAAAATTACTATACGCATTTTTATTTAACAGTCTGTAAAATGTACAATATCAAAGTATCAAATTATTACATTTAATTTTACAATAAAAATATTACATTCATCGAAGATTATAAAAATTAAATTAAATATTATAATTTCCCGAGTATAGCTATTTTATGTACAGGGTGTTTTTAAAAGAATGCCGGGATTTTAAATTGTAATTGTTTGGATACTATCAGGGACGTAACTATAGGGGGGGGGGCAACACGCTGCGGTCGTTATCACGATTACGTCTCCTGTCTATGTTTCGTTGTCGTCACGTCGAAGGCATTTAAAAAAATACAACAAATAAACAAATTATAGCTACACAAAACAACGATAAATGCACAAATTTAAGATACAACCATACTAACACGATCCGTCTTGGGGGTTATGTTTACACAAACTCAAATACTGTAGTAAATAAATGTACTCAATGACGACATTGAATTGAAAAATAAATAACAGCAATTAAATTATACAGCTGATCAAAATGTAAACAATTGTAGTGTTCTCTATAAGGATAACATGGGAACTTTCAAAAGCCAATGGGGCAGAGGCCAAGGGACTTTTTCCAAAATGTAAGGTCAGTTTGCAAATCTACGCGACACGCTCTTTCCAATGAGACGTCAATGGATAAAATCGGTTAAGAAATGGCGGAGGAGTACAACCGACAAAGTTTCATGTAGCGTATTAATTATATAGATACAACATTAAAAGTAAACTTGAAGAACATGAGCTAGTGAGTTACCACTCTCAACATTAGCTAACAAAGAGAATTTTGATAACACAGCCAAAACTGAATGGGAGGTTTAATATCGTAAGTCGCTTCAGTCTGTAAATGATGTTGTGATTGTTGAATAAATTTAGTGCAAGATGAGATCTCATCCTGTGGTCGGAAACTTGACCAAAAGTATGTATTTTTCCAACCTCTCTATATTTACCTTATGCTGTAAATAAGACATGTTACAGTAATAGAATTTCTTCTATTTGGTTTTCTTTTCTGTTTACATTTAGTTGTTATTTCGTTACCAACACGGCAACCCATACGGCCCATGTTATTTTTTTTAATTTTAAATTAAAAAAAAATTTACAGGCTAGCTGTCATAAGTTTTGCAAAAGTTGTTTTGTATAAGTCGATTTGAATGATTTTCCAATTTGATAATCATTTTTTTACTAGATTTTGTAATTTCTTCTTTGACTTTTCAAATTCTAAGATTATTATGAAGTGTTCTGTTGGTAACAAACCAAGGTGCGTTGACAATTTTACGTAGCAATTTTGATTGGTATCGTTGAATATTTTCAATGTTTGAGGTACTTGATGATCCCCAAAGTTGGATCCCATAAGTCCAAATTGGGTTTCTAACTTTTTTGCAAAGTAACATTATTTTGTGTACTGAGTTTTGATTTAGATCCAAGAAGACAATTAAGCTTAGTTGTTTTTAAATTTAGATATTGTCTTTTAGTCCAGATATGTGCCTTCCAATTAAGCTTTGCATCTAAGTGCATGCCCAAGTATTTTAATTCTGTTTCTTGAGGGAGGTGAATATTGTTCATGGATACTGGAGGACATGTAGCCATATTTAGGGTAAAATTAATGTGTTCTGATTTATTTTCATTAATTTTGAACCTCCATGTTTTAACCCAATGTGAATTTTCATCCAAGTTTAACTGTAAATTTGCTAAAGCTTGAACCGAAGTTGTCGTGGACAGATAAAATGGTCATATTATCATCTGCAAATGTGGCAACCATAGTGTTTACAATTTCCGGTAGGTCCGATGTATAGGGAATATACAAGTATGGTCCAAGTACGCTTCCTTTGGGGATTCCTGATCCTATAGGGTAAGGGTCAGGTAAATAATTGTAATGTTTAATTTGGAAAGTTCTGTTTGTAATATATGATTATTAAATAGGAAAAACTGAATTGGATAGCTAAATGTGGCATTCTTGTCAATAGTTCGACATATCGATAGTAATGTACACTAACACAATCGTAATAAACGAAATAGTTGAATTATATTTACTAAGCAGATGCTTGTTTGCATTAGCAAAATAAACAATTTAGAAATCATTTTGAGAAGTTATCTTTTTATGAAAAGTATTTTTGTTAAAGAAATTACATTTCTTAAGGCCGGGGCCACACGACGCGGATCATCCGCGCGGACGGACCACGCGGATGATCCGCGTGGTCCGACAACACATTGAATCAAATGAGAGTGGCCACACGGGGCGATCCTAAGGCCCCGTTTATGCACCAAGAGCGGGAGCGGGGCGATAGCGGCCCGCTCCCGCTGTGAATGGGGCTGTTTATGCACGAAGAGCGATAGCGGTAGCGGTTGGTTAAAGGAGAATGGTTGGGGACACAGTCTTGCCAACTCAAACTCTGCCAAATAATTAACACAACTATTTGTCCTAAGTGCACGTGCGCGTGGGTCAAGTTGGCAACCCTGGCTTCAGCCCAAGCAACCGCTGCGATTTCTAACTACACAGCGGGCGAATTAGAAACCGCAGCGGGAGGTCAACCGCTATCGCTATCGCTCTTGGTGCATAAACAGCCCCATTTAACTCAATGGTGTTTGAAATCGCTCCCGCTGTCGCTACCGCTCCCGCTCTTGGTGCATAAACGGGGCCTAAGCCGCCCGGGCGGATTGTCCGCGCCATGTCACGGATTGTCCGGGATTACATATTTGCCTAATGTAGTCCGGTTGAACGACTGTCCGGAAAAAATCATTTGGTTAAAAGGTGTCCAGATAAGAGGCAGTTTACTTTACTTAATGTAGTGTAAATATTGCAAAATGTAGAAATTGTAGCATTAAGCATGAAGCAGCTCCCTCTGTGAAATTTCTTTACGATGTTACCGAAAGTATATATTTTAAATTCTGCTATTTTGCTGCTAATTTCAATGCTACGAGGGGCTCATACCAACTGTTGATTTCAGACGCAGATTCAATAGACAAGCTGACTGCAGGGCAAGTTGTAAAAGCGTTGTTCTATGACGCGACATTCAGTGAGCCTGTCAGTCAGTCAGTTTCCAGAATGTCAACTGCACCTCGTCTGATTGGCAAAGCCGAATCAGGAGACTCCGTCGTTGACTCCCTTCTGAAGTCTTCTCACCAGTTCCGGATATATGAGGTGCCAGATGTCAAGCAACATGTACCAATTGTCTTCTTCAGCAGTGGCACCACAGGGACACCTAAAGGCATAGAAGTGTCGGACTTCCACGTCCAACTTTCAGGAATTCTGTAAGTTTAAGAAGAAACTGTCATATATCTTTAAATTTTGGCATTGGAATTCATCGTAAATGTACCATGCATGCGTCGAGGCACTCACTCCATCTTAGAGAGTATACAATGGGTATTGGCCGAATATTTCTTAGAGACATGCCATAAGTAAAGTTTCACTTCCTCATAGTTAATACACCATGGTTAGAGGTCCATTTTCGTTTAGACATTTAACATAAATAGAGTCCTACTTCCTTCCAGAAAATATATACCTTAAATAGAGTCTCATTCCCACTTAGAAGATATTAGTTGCAGTTTCCCTCGATATTCTCTACACGACTACACTAAATTACACGTTAAGAATAATATAGTTAAGAATATTGTACTTGAATTTTGATAACAAGTCTGCCTAAACTAAATTGGACCAGTCTTTATAGATTATCTCATCTTTATAACGCTTTATAACTTTTATACAACTTGCCGCTATAAATAACACATCAAATGAAAAAGCAACTCAAAGAGTTTGTGCATTACATCGACACATCATTTAACATATTATTCGATTCAGTAGAACTGTACATTTAATTGTACAAGTTAAAATGGATTCTTTAACTTTTTCACCACTATAAATTCGGAGGCTGCTTAACGCTTTTGCAAATAGCTTTATGGTGAGGAATCGACCAAAGAGGAAGGTAATATTCCGCAAGAGAATAAAATTTCCTCATTTTACTACTAAGTATTCCTTAAAAATACAGAATTAAGTGTTAGAGCGGTAAGTTTAATAGTATATAAGTTATAACGTGTTAAAACACCGATATTCATTTATAAACCTGGTATATTAAGCTGCTGTAATTTATTTCTGTGTACTGATTACTATGTAATCGCTGTTTACCAGGCCAAACCGTAATGTGACAATTAAATATTCATCATAGGTAAAATAAATATGCAGTATAATCTAAAATAACGATCCACCTGATTTTTGGCAAGAAATTATTATGATAAATTGTTACTACACCAAATCCTGTAACTGTTCCAATTATTCACAGCATTTAACCTGTAGATGGATTTAACCTTGGGAGCCTAGCTGCACTTAAGACAAATTCACTGACTATAAGCTTGAAATACGTGTTTGCACTGTAATTTCCATCATTTTAGCACGAACACGAATTTATGGTCCTCAAATTTAAAATTTACGAAAAGTAATCCGTTATTGATTTGATGAAAACGGTGATTTAACATAAATATCTTAAGGATTCTGTTATCAGCTCAAAATTGACTGCTCCAAAAGCCGGTGATAACAATGTTTTGGGGACAAGATTTGACATAAGTGATGGATATGACATCGTCAAGCACCAATTCTTGGATAAAGTAACTTTATCCTACATAGTTAATTAGATTTTTTTTTACCAATGTATCATACATTACCCACTTCAATAAATAAATATAATCGTGGTTTAGAGCCCCTATGTAAGCTGGACATCTTGATAAAGTTACTTTAACCTAACCACAACTATTGAACACTCTTGAATCAACGCTTTACTTTTTGTTAAAATTCTTCATATTTGTAGACAGAACAGCTGTGAGCTGTGGTATCTTGTAGAAATGTATGTCTGTTGTTAGACAAGTCTACAGAAGTTTCTATGTGTTCGGGGGGGTCCTGTGCTGGGATTGATCCATTGATTATGGTTTGTGATAAAATAAAATCATTTTAGGCCAATCATACTAATAAGTTTTTTTCAGTTTCGAATCTAGAAGAGAATCTTTACTTATTGCCTCGCCTCTGTATTGGTACAGCGCGTTAGGTACCTTGATGAGTGCCATTCACCAGAATCACTCCATGATCATCACCAACTCCAACGACGCAAGATACAGATTGAAACTTATGGAAAAATACAAGGTAATTCTTTCATGTAGTCACTGTTCTATGTTAAGGCAGAGAAATTAAACCAAAGTACAGTCGATCCTCTACAAGAAGAATTTCAAGGAGTAGGAGAAAACTTCGTATTATCTCGGTATTCTTAACAAAGAGGTTTGTTTTATATAGGTGTAATACTGCTATTATTCGTCTTATAGAGGTTTCTTCTCGCTCTGAGATAACCTCTATACATTGACTGAGGAAGGAAGAGGGGTGGGTGGGGGTTTCATGTTGTGACAAACTTCTCTTTGTTTTGAAAACTACGTACTGTACTATGGGGGTTAAGATAATGAGGAATTCGTCTTATAGAGGTCGCATTCGGCTTGTAGAGCTTTTGTGCTAAGAATATTCGTTGTATAGATATCCCGTTTTGGGATGTAAACCTCTTTCTTTATAGTAATTAGAGAACGTTTAATCCGTTTCTATAAATATTCACAAACGATCTATACAAAGGTCTATATATAGATTTAAAAATGCGTTTACAAATTATTTACATCGCTTTGCGTTAAAAAAAACAATTAGGGACAAGATATATTATTCAGCAACAAGCTATTTGAGCAACGTAAGTGTATACTCAATGAAGTCATTTAATTTTATCTTTCCCCTTTTTAAATAGCCCTTACTTCATTGAGAATAATCATGTGGATAGTGTAGTAATATCAGTTGACTGTACGCAATATTTCGGCTTTTTATGTTTAAAAGAAGTGAAAATAATAAAGTAAGATGTTTAATAATACTCTCTGAAGTTGCCATGTTATTTTGAGTGAACCACCAATACTCAAATATGACGGCGAAATAAATTAACTAGCTGAAAGATGATTCTCTTTTATTTCAAAAGCGTCTTTATTTGTAAATAATCAGTTTGGGTTTGTAAATAATCAGTATTATAAGATCATCCTCAAACATATATTTAAACTAAAATTAAAGTATTTTTAGGTGGAATCTTTTTTCAGCAACATGGCAAACATGATCCAATACATAAATGAACCAATGTTTGAGGACTTTGATCTATCTTCAGTGAAAACTGTCTTAGTAGGTAAGTTATTTTTAAGAATAAAATATAATTTAGAAATAGTATCTAAGCTTCAGTAAATACATTAATAAAATATTCAATTTTCATTTATATGGTTATTCGTGCCAATCCAATTATCCGTTTCTTTTTTTAACTTTTAGCGAATTTCCCATATAGGGAATAAGCTATTACCGTAGGTCTCATGGTAAGACCTAGATCCGGGACCGATTTACTTTTTCGTTTTGAGGTCCCCAGAGACCAAAAACACCATCCGTTCAAATTCATATATATATATATATATATATATATATATATATATATATATATATATATATATATATATTTATTTATATATGTGTCCGTTAGCGCGATAACTCGAGCAAAAATGATCCGATTTTGATGAAATTCGGTACAAACGTGTAAACCTACGTTTATTCGAACGAGTTCGCGAACCAGCATTATCGGACCATGGCAACAGGGGTTTATGGGGGGTTTTATGGGGTGAAAATGAATTTTTCCCATTGTTTACCCTAAAAACAAAAAATTTTGTAATTTCTTTCTCAACCATTTTGTAGAGCTTAAAAAAAGAAATAATTTAGTATATTGAAGCGCTGTTGTATGCCTAACGGTCACGGAGAAAATTAAAAAAAAAGTGTAATTTAAAATTCCCATGTTATTCTTATGGAGAAAATGAAAACTGTTGTAGTTTACTTGTTTATGGATATATATTGATACAATTTGGCAAATTTATTTATTTCATCCTATACTATTGACATATGGTCTAAAAACACTTTTTACCTTCCCCGTAGCAGCAAACCTAAGCACTTGTTAAATCTAATGTTATTTAAATTGGGAATAAATATGTCTTATTTATGGAAATATATGAGTAAAAATTTAATCAGACAAGTTGAAATTCGCTTAGTCTGCAGGTTTGCTGCGGCGGGGGTATATTTTAGCTTCTTTCTGTTTCAAGGACAAGTTTTTATAACCATTTCCTATAATAGTAAATCTTGATCAGTTTTAGCGAATTTCCCTATAGGGAAGTAGCTATTACCGTAGGTGGCACGGTAAGACCTAGACCCGGGACCGATTTACTTTTTCATTAAGATGTCCCCTGAGGCCAAAAACACCATTGGTTCAAATTTGTATATATGTGTATATATATAATATATATATACACATATATTATATATATATATATATATATATACGTCCGTGAACGCGATAACTTGAGTAATTTTTGTCCGATTTTGATTAAATTTGGTTAAAATGTGTAAAGCGGGAATAAGCGGGGTGTAAGCGGGGTTTTGGATAAACTTGAATGAGTTCGCGAACCAGCATGATCGGACCATGGGAACGGGGGGTTTTATGGAGTAAAAATTGGTTTTTCTCACTTTTGACCCTCAAAACACAAAATTTTCCAATTTCCCTTTAGACCCTTTTAAAGAGCTTAAAAAAACAAATAATTTAGAATATAAAAGTATTTTTGTTCGGCTATTAGTAACGGAGAAAATTAAAAAAATTGTAAATTTAAAATTCCCATGTTATTCTTATGGTGAATATTGTCAAATGTTGTAGTTTGCTTGTTTATGGATATATTTTGATCAAACTTGGCAAATTTATTTATTTTGTACTAAGCTATCAATATTTTACTAGCAAACACACTTTATTAGTTTCCTTGTAGCAGCAAACCTAGGTACTCGTTAAACCTAATGTTATTAAAATATATTTAATTGAAAATCAATTCAGACAAATGGAAATTCGCTTAGTCGGCAGGTTTGCTGCGGCGGGGGTATTATTTATTTGACTAGCAGAGTATACGTTTTACGTACAGGGTTGAAGCTTTTTTAACATATAGAGTTGCGGCATTATTACATAGCTATATCGCATTGCTGGTTGGCGGGATTTGAACCAAGCACCTCGGGGACCGAATTCCCGAGTTCTATAAATAATCCACTACACCTTAGACCAACCTGCTCAGCCTAGTTAGTGGAGATGCCAGAACCCACTGCCTATCCTGGCCTCAACCTATACTGGCTAGTGTATTAGATTGTGTACGCTATGATACAATATTAAATTTGCTTACAACCAAAGTCTAAAGCCTTGTTTTGCCAGAGGCTTCTGGTGCGTATATCGCTCAGCGTCTATGATCGGGGTTATTTTGCCAGAAGCGTCCGTTCCTTGCGATTATTGAATCAGTGAGAGGTTTGATGGCAAAAGAAGTGATGTTTATGAAATGAGCTGTAAAAAGCAAATAGTGAAGTATTTGTTAGCTGAGTTAGGTTTTTTAACAGTAAAAAAAATAAAATCAAGTCGTAATTCCAGAAATGTTATAAAATTGTAGTAGGAGTTTTTTTTTTATTTTAATTTTCGGAAAACACGCAAACAGATTTTATGGAAAATGTTATTCCTGACCATTGGAGTGGTTACAATTTGAAAATGGGACTTATGGAAATTTTCTGGATAATTTTAGTTCCACCCTTTTCAAATTTCAAGTCTCTAGCAGGTTTCTAAACGGTTCAGATGAGCATACCAAAGTCGGCAACTTTCAATCCCCCCATAAGAATAACATGGGGAGAAGTAGATGTATAATGCCGATTGATCGCCATGAGGAAGTATGAGGGGTATGATGGCTGATGTAACATTGTTAGTAGGGTAAAAATGAGAGAGCTAGCACCACCGTGTTATTAAACGGCTGAGAGAACTGGCACGGGGAGAACGTACATGGGTGAGAGAGCTGGCACGGTGAGAGAGCTGGCACACGGTGTCGAAAGTTTCCGTCGGCGTGTCGGGGTGGACGGTTGAGAGAGCTGGCACCGCGGAGGCTGGCACACGGGAAAGGTGTCGGAGGTGTGTCGGTTTGGAAGGGTGTTTGTTACCTGATGTCGGGCGTACGACAAGATGTATTATAAATATTTTTATTTAAAACTCGATTTTTAAGGTGGTAACGTTTGACTGACAAACGCTTCTCGCTTCTGCCATTTAGTGTTGAGTGTAGATAGTTTTCCAAATGTGTGGAGTAAATAGAATGTTAAATTGTTAGCCTTATGTAAGAAATAATGGATAAATAATAATATCTTAATAAATTAATTTAAAAACACTTATGGTGGACTTAAAAGCGCTTTTATGGCATGTCATTTAACGATGACGTTGTTTACCATGAAAACAATTTGTTTAATAAGGATATTTGTACATTTATATCTGAAATTCATTTATATCATAAAACTACTGTTTGTATATTTAAATAAATATTTAGCGCTGAGCTGATAATTATCCTTGATGATGCAAGGCTTATCGTGGCGTGCAAAAACTCTTGATAGGGATTATCATGGATGCAGCATTAGTTTATCAAAACATAATAATTTGCGTAACCATTACAAAGTGCAGCGTTGCAGCGTGTGTGTTTAATGACTTCCGACTGATAACGTAAATACCACGTGTGGAGGTTAAGGTCAAAGACGTCATATCTTATCAGTATATATATAGATATATAATTCGCGCACACAAAATCATTATCATCATGTCTTCCTCCAACGCGCTGACCACACCCTCCACCTGGGACGTTTCCATCGTCGAGGGATCAGGCCTGGAGAGTCTTGAAGACCTCTACATTATCTTGAAGGCAGTGTTCCCTCAACCTAATGTTCAGGTAGGAAAAAAATAAAAATATTATTGATAAAAAACTTTAGATTTATAAACGTTATACTTTATATCTTTAAAATGTTTTCAACCAAATTCACCTAAGATTCAATAGTGATGATATGTTATATCACTATCTGATAAATACACTGTATATTAAACTTATTTGCAAGTAATAATACCCTAAATTAAATAATCATACTTATGAATTAAATTATCAATGTCAATTTCTATTTTTATATCTACATTTTGAATTATGATTATTTCAAAAATGATTGCCCAAAAACTAAATTGTCATTGTATGGAACAAGAAGGCTTTAATTTATCGTTTCATGTTCATCATTATTTTCTTTGTTAATTAATGTTTAGGTTGATTAATTATTTTTTTTACCTATAAATTAAACTTATGACTAAACCTATAACTAAACTTTGATATATTTCTAGATAAGGTACAGAAGATAACAGCACTTAATTTATTTTAACACACGTTTAAAAAATATTATAAATTAATTTTATTTTACATGTTTGTTTAAGTTTGAACGGAGGGATGACCAAACATACAGAGTACGGCTGCCGTATTGTGTGAAGCTCACATCGCTCCAGGCCAGGTTTGGGGAGTATGCTGGGGCAGTGACAATAATCTCCGCGGCGGCAGACCTCACGTTGGCTCAAACCAGACGCCTGGCTGAGCTGCGCTCGAAGATCATCAATAGTAAGAGATAGTGAAAAACCATCAATTACTATAGTACAATACATTGTAGGGACTAGCCAATTATAGAAAAATACATTTTATAATTTGAATAAGAAATACTCCATATCATTGTCAAATATAAATTACTATTCTATTGTAATCTGTTAACGATGCAAAACTATCTTGCAACGATTAAACTCAAATTTTGTAAACCATGTAATACGTGGTACAGAGAATCTGACAATCACCCTGCAAGTAACACTCATTTAAAAAATACATTGGGCTATTTGCCAATTATTGAGACCGAGTCTGCTGCAAAATGTAGGCTTAAAACCTATTACTTAACAAATGGTGAAGGATACATCGATATAGGTAATTTTTTAAAATATCACACGAAACCTTTGATTATTTCAAAAATTCAAGAACACCTTCTTAAGTCGAAAACTCTGAAATGTAATATTATTTTAAAATGTATCTATGCAAGAACTGAAGGAGAAGAAGATGAAATCAAAGAACTGTCATTTAAGACTGCAAACGAGCCCATACTACTAGGTACAGATCTAAACACGTATTGTAAAAACGCTTTTGATAAACTTTTAACAGAACAATCAGAACACCAAGGTAAAGGTTCAGGATGGAGTCTAAAGAGTATTATAGGGCTGGAACTAAGAATTAATAAATACTATCCATTAAGAGGATGTAAACATATATCCTTACCAGCTTTCATTGCAAACAAGAAAGCTGTTGTAAATGTAAAGAATCAGGATGATTATTGCTTCAAGTATAGTATATGGGCGAAAAATGTACCTCGTAATCCACAAAGAGTCCGCAATTATATTGATAATGCAGAAATGAATGCAGCGTATGACTGGGACTGTATTAACTATCCTGTAAAACTTAAGTCAATACCTAAATTTGAACAGATAAACAATATGTCTATAAATATATTTGGAATAGAAAAGAAACACAATAGTGAGGAATATATTGTATATCCTATTAAAGTAACAAAACAAGAAAAAGATGATCACCGTGATTTATTACTATTGAAAAATGAAACAACATCTCACTATGTGTGGATTAAAAACTTTGATAAATTAGTAAGCGCGCAAACCTCTAACCACAACGGAAGAAAATTTGTTTGTAAATCATGTTTAATCCATTTTAATGATAAACCTACCTTCGATGTACATAAACAGCTATGTAACAATCATGAACCTGTTGCTGTAGAAATGCCTAATGAAGATAATTGTAAACTTAAATTTAAAAATTTCAAACACCAACAACAAGTCCCGTACATTGTATATGCTGATTTTGAAAGTATATTAATACAAAAAAGTCCATGTAATAATTGCAATTCTTTTACCTGTAAAAATCCCAATGAATGTTGTATTAACTGTTTCCGAGTCAACTGTAAAAATTTGAATCAATGCTGTTTGAACTGTAAAAGACCGAATTGTAAGAACTCCCACACCTGCAAAACTAAACATGCTACGCAAAATCAATCTACCTCTTCAACTGTTGACTATCAAAAGCACTACCCATCAAGTTTTTGTTATTATGTTGTTTCAAGTAATGGTGAAAAATCAGAACCAGTCCTTTTTCGCGGAGAAAATGCTGTGAAGGTATTTTGCCAAAAGATCAGAGATGAAGCTCTTAAAGTGTACGAGACGTACAAAAATAAGTTGCCTATGGAGTTAACGGATGAAGAAGTGGACATGTTTGAACGTTCATCTTGCTGTCACATATGTGAAGAACAGTTTACTGCCGATAATTTAAGGGTTAGAGATCACGACCCTAATACAGGGAAATTTAGAGGTGCAAGTCATTCAAATTGTAACTTGTCATATCAAAATCCACACTTTTTGCCCGTAGTCTTGCACAATATGTCAAATTATGACCTCCATTTTATTATTAAAAGTCTCGATTATGATGAAATGGAAATAAAGGTAATCCCTAATACAGAAGAACGGTATATCTCTTTATCAAAGAAAGTTGCTGCTAGATTTGAAATTCGTTTTCTTGATTCGTACAAATTTATGTCTAGAAGTCTTGATGAACTAGTCAAAAATCTTGACAAAAATCAATTCAATGAAACACTTTCTTATTTCGGTTATGATAAACTTAATATTGTTACAAAAAAAGGCTGTTTTCCCTACGAATACATAGATGGCTGGGAAAAATTTAATGAGACTAGCTTGCCTTCTATTGATCAGTTTTACAGCTCTCTAAATAAGTCAGAAGTTGCTGTAGAAGATTATAATAGGGCTGTTGAGGTTTGGAACAAATTTAACTGTCAAACCTTAGGAGAATTTTCTGATATCTACCTTAAGACTGATGTGTTACTATTAAGCGATGTATTTGAAAATTTCCGAAAAGTTTGTAAATCCAATTATGGTTTGGACCCAGGTTGGTATTTCACAGCTCCTGGCCTTTCGTTCGACGCGTGTCTTAAATTGACTAAAGTTGAAATCGATTTGTTAACAAGCTATGAACAGTACATGTTCATAGAAGCTGGTATTCGTGGTGGTATTTCTATGTGCACTAAACGTTACTGCGAGGCATCAAATAAGTATTTAGTTTCAGAAACAAATCTTGACTCGGAATCACAACCTGGTGTCAAACCTATGGATCAGGGACTCTGGACAGTTGATAATTCAAACTTTATATTATTCCTAGATATAAATAACCTTTATGGGGCTGCAATGGGAGAAAGTTTACCGTTAAAGGACTTTAAATGGTTAACCCCTGTTGAAATTGATGAAGTAAAAAATAAAATTAATGATATTGGTGAAAATGATGAAGTAGGGTTTATACTTGAGG